AATTTGCAACGTGCTCTTTATGGGTTGCGTCAAGCTCCAAGGAATTGGCATAATGAGCTAAAATATAACCTGAAGCAGATGGGTTTCCAGGAGTCGAGGGCTGATGCTTCACTGTTTGTATTAAACAAGGATGGTGTTCGTACGTACTTGTTAGTTTATGTAGACGACATTATCGTCACCGGGTAATCGATTGCAGAGACTGAAAGGGTGGTGCAGCTGCTGAATGAGAAGTTCTTTTTGAAAGATCTAGGTGAATTGCACTATTTCTTGGGGTTAGAAGTGAAGAGGTGTCGAGAGTCTCTCTTACTTAAAGAAAGTTCATCACAGAACTGTTGCTTAAAACGAAGATGGTGAGAGCAAACCCTACCACCAATCCCATGGTTGCTTCTATGAAGCTGTCTCTCGATGCTGGAAGTCTCCTAGAAGATGCTCGAGAATACCGTAGAATCGTAGGAGCATTGCTTTTCGCTTGCCATACGAGATCAAACATTGTTGTGAGTGTCAATATAGGGTGGCTTAGTTTATGCATGCTCCTCGAGAGATGCACTTTGTTGCCGTGAAACGGATCTTGAGGTCCTTGGCAGGAACATTGAACTTCATCAGGGGGTCGGATGTTTGTGTTACTGTCTTCGAGGATGCCGACTGGGCAGTGAACGTTGATGATGGTAAGTCAATTTCAGGTCACTGTGTTTTCTTCAGTGATAATCTGGTGACATGGAGCTCGAAGAAACAAAAGGTGGTATCCCGTTCTACCATGAAGGCGGAGTACAGGAGTTTAGCGGAAGTAGCTGCAGAGGTTACTTGGATCAATGCATTGTAACAGACTTGGGAATATCGCAGGGCAGGAAACCCGTTCTTTGGTGCGATAACACTGGAGCGATTGCTCTAAGTGCAAACCCAGTGTATCATGCACAGTCAAAGCATGTAGATTTGGACGTTCACTTTGTTCGAGAGAAGGTTGCTGCAGGTTAGCTCTTTATCAACTATGTCTCGGTTTGTCATCAAACCGCTGATGGACTTACTAAGCCTCTATCGAGGACCTGGTTTGAAGCGTTTCAGAAAAAAATCAATGTTCGGTCGTTTGCAGAAGAAGAAGAAGAAGAAACGAAAGAGTAGGGTGAATGTTGAGTATTGTTGTTAATAGTCACGTGTTGTTAGCTAGGTGAGTAGGTTAGCTGTGCAGTTAGTCAGTTAGGCTAGCTGCCCCTCGCCAGGTGTCGTTTGATGTCGTCTGATTGTACTCTTTAGTAGCTATAAAAGCTGCTCTAGTGTTCCCTATAATACACTTTTTTTTCCTGATATAATAAAGAATTCCTTGGTATAGTTAAAGATTAGCTTTATTGTGGGATTTTCAACAAGAAGTGCTCGTATTCTTCTGGTGACAGCAGTCTCATGAGCTTGAGGGGTCGTATTAAGCATGCGAACAGCTTCTTGGGGTTAATTTCACAATCCTACTATGGTTTTAAAATTGTTCACGTTGATGATTAGACTCGCATGGTTTTAATTTCACAGAATGAATGCCCTTGGGGGTTTAACCTCAGAACAGATCTAGAAATTCATCTCAGCCTGTGAACCGATTTCCGAATATCTGAACCGATGATCCAATCCATGGTAAGAAACCATCTGCATTTCATTTTTTCCCTCTAGATATGTCAGATTACCACATATAGATAACCTCACTAATGTTTTAACAGGCAGAAGTAACTACTAATATGATGCAGTCTCCACCAGTTCCGACGAATTACGCCGGCTCGCTAGCCGTCGATACACCACCTGGTCGCCCTTCGCCAATGTCGGTTCCGGACAAAATGTTTGGAACATGCCCTGGCCGTTCAACAATGGTTTCAAACACATTCACTAATAAGCGAGGAAGTTCAGGGCATTAAAGAATTAAAAGTTCTGAAGTGTTTACAAAAAAAATTAAAAATTAAAAAAGGACGAACTAAATATTGTAATTCTACATGGTACCATAGTTTTCATCTCTTGAGAGCAAATATCAGAAAGCTAATCTAACATAATCATCAATAATAACTGCAGGCAATAGCTAAAATCAACTAAGAGCAGCATCCGCCGCTCTTTTGGTTAATTGGCTGTCCTTTTATCTGCACCATCGGCGGCCTTGCTGCATTCGGCGCCGGCTGGCTCGACATCCTGCATTAGATATAAAAAAGTTAATAAATATTAACGAACCCGGAGTTTAATTCGATTGATTCATTCATACCTGTTCTTAATATCAGCAGCCATTGCCATAAAAGCTTGCTCGACATTAGTAGCATTTTTTGCACTAGTCTCCATAAATGGAATGCCAAGTTCATCTGCAAACGCCTATTAAACACAAAATCATCAATTCTATGATTGTTTTAGTTTTTTTTTTCCTCAATAATTTCATGAAGTTGAACCCTTTTTTTCACCTTGGCAGCTTCGTAGGAAACGACTTTTTTGGAAGTAAGGTCACACTTGTTCCCGACCAGAAGCTTGTTCACATTCTCACTTGCATAACGACCAATTTCATTCAGCCATTGCTTAACATTGTTGAAGCTCTCTTGGTCAGTTACATCATAAACTATCTGCCAGATATCGGACATGAACAAGTATACCATATCGAAGACATACTGGGAGAAATGTCGAACGTAAAGACGTCGAAAGAGAACTTACTATAATGCCGTGTGCCCCACGGTAATAGCTGCTAGTGATCGTCCGGAACCGCTCCTGTCCTGCAGTATCCCACTGCATGTGGGGGGGGGGGGGAAACATGTATTCATGGTATTCGAACGTAGGAATATCCGTACAAGAGCATGATTATAAGTAAAAGAATAGAAAGATGGTTACGATTTGAAGTTTTACAATCTTGCCATCGTGCTCCACAGTGCGTATTTTCTGTAGGAATTAATAGAGAAGATAACTGAGTTTCATGAAAATGAACAGAACACAGGAGATGGATGAGAAATGCTCACAAAATCGACGCCGATTGTGCTTATGTAGCTGTCCAGATACGAATCATCCTGCATTCGAGTGACGAAATTAAAGCGCAAAAGCCTAGACATAACGGGTTTTTACTGTTACGTTTTAATTGTTAGAACGGAATTCTTACAGCAAATCTGAGGAGAAGACACGATTTACCAACTCCAGAATCTCCGATGAGAAGAAGCTTGAACAAATAGTCACTGCACAAATGAAATTGGAAAATTTAAACAAACAGATGGAAGAGTTATGGATGATGATATGAAAGAAAAAAAGAAAGTGAATACTATTCAGGATTCATGGCTGTTAATTGGCTCGACCGAGTATCGGGCCAGTCCGAGTGGCGAAGTTGTGACAGAGACAAAGAAGTGAAGAGATTTTGTTTTCTATAACGGAAGTATATTTGTTTTAACAAACGTTACCGAAAAGTTTGCATTTTTATTGGGATTCAAACTCGTTGTTTTAGAAATTCCTACATTCTTGGTATTAGTGGTTTATGAGTTCCTTGCAGGCCTAAAGCCTTCTTCAAGCCCATCTTGTTACTGCATTAGGCTCTTTTGAGCCGATAAAATAATTGCATCACTTTATTTCAGCTAAAATATTAAATTCATATATAAAACATCATGACCATGGTGGTCAGTGGTGAATGAATTTAGGATTAATTAAAAAAAAAATAAGTGTTTTAAATTATATCGTTTTTGTTAAATAAGTGTTTAAACTTTTTTTTATTTATCTAGGTATCTAATGTTACAAACGTTACCACTTAGGTGTCCAATCGTAACGTCCGTTAAAAAATACCGTTAAGTGACATTTTTCACATTATGGTAAATTTGAGAATTTTATTATATTTTGAAAATAAACCTAATTTCTCTTAAATTATAAAAAAAAACCCCAATTCTCTAAAATTCTAAACCATAACCCTAACTCACCAGCGTCATCTTTGTCGGCCACCGCAACGAGCATTGTCCTTGTCACCTTCTTAGTCAGATGTTGTCATCCTCGTCGTCAAATAGTCGTCAAGATTATACGAGGTCATGATTTGCAGTGTCGGGGTACACATGTCAATTGACTCTTGTTTCGATGGCTTTTTATCGGTCATCACATGGAGATGAGGTCGGGTGGAGGTTCACCGACGATAAAGAACGACGATCGATGTGAGTTTAATGGTTGAAATTAGGGTTTTTAAAGTTTTAGGATTCTTTAAGTTCTTTAATTTTTTGGGGGGTTTTTAAAATATAATAATATTTTTTTATTTTTAAAATTTAAAATTTAAATAAAAATTTTAAAATTACGTGAAATGTGTTCTTTAATTGAAGAATTTAATGATCGTTAGGGTTGAAGCACCTCAAATAATAACGTTTGTAATGTTAGACACTTAGATGAATCGAAAAAAAGTTTTGGAACCTATTTAGGAAAAGCAATATAGTTTGGGGACATATTCTCTAATTAAGCACATAAATTTTGAATTTTTGATTTTATTTGATTAAAATTTTCATAAATTTGATCCGATTCAAAAGAAATTTGAACTTGAGTCGAGTTATAAAATATAATTAAAATAATTTAAAATTTTTAATAATTAATTAATTAATTTTCAAGTCAGTGTCGATTCTTTCAACTTTGAATGATATATAAATTTAAATTAGAATAAATTAGCATATTAATATTATAAACTTTTATAATTAAATTTAAACAAAAATTCAAATACTTAACTCTCGAATTTCATAAATTTTACTCCACTTAAAATTAAAATAAATTAAATTATAGAGTAAAGGTTATTAACTCGACTCACTTAAAATTTATTAGTCGATCAACTCAATCAAATACTCGCTGGTACTGATTTGATTAGGTTAAAAAGGCTCCTTTGAGTGGTTAATATTTAAAATATTACCGATTAAGAAAAATTGTTTTTATATAATAAAAAACAAAAAAAAAATCTAATTTATTTACGCCCATCGCTGCTGAAATGGTAAAAAGAAAATAATAAGTTGAAAAAAAAACAAGATCACAGAAACCCAATTCCAAAAGAGCTTACAAAAACAATGCTTCGAAGCGTAACGCTTGCCACTTCTTCCAATTCCATCATCTCTAAATCTTTCTTTTCTCCCTGTCCCGAACTCTCCCTCCCTTTCCCTCCTCTTTCTCTCTCTCCTTTTCCCTCAAACCAAACGTTCCGTATCACTCCACCGGCCCCCATGAACATCCTTAAAAGCTTCGGCTTCGGAGCCAACAGCAAGCCCAACCCATCAATGCAAAACTCTGTCATCGCTCAAGGTCCAGATGACGATGTCCCTTTTCCTGGGCAGCAGTTTGCTCAGTTCCGTGCTGGGTGTTTTTGGGACGTTGAATTGGCGTTCCAGAGGGTTCCGGGTGTGACCAAAACGGAGGTCGGGTATACCCAAGGGTTCATGGATAATCTGAGTTATGAGGACGTGTGTTCTGGGACTACCAACCATAATGAAGTTGTGAGGCTTCAGTATGACCCTAAAGAGTGCAGCTTTGACACTTTGCTTGATGCCTTTCGGGCTCGCCATGATCCTACAACTCTCAATCGTCGGTGGGTTTTCTCACGATGTGAGAGATTTTTTGTCTTTAGGGATTGAACTTTTATGCAATTTAAGCTTGTGAATTTTCATTTTGGAAGTAGATTTTGAGCTTGACTGTTGCAATCTTTGAGTTATCTTGTTATAGTGATAATTTTGAGGAAACTTATAAAATTTATGTTAGAGCAAACTTATAAAATTTTAGTAGGAGGCAAAAACATTTATAAATAGAAAAGACAATGAAAGCTTTTAAAATATATGATATTTGAAATTTTCATGGAGGGGACTGTCCTCACCTGCAGCCCTGCCCCCTTGGATACATCCCTGTTTGCTTGGAAGTTTGTATGCTTGATAACAGGACTTCTCACCCTGCATAAAGTTCATTTCCCCCCATATAAATCTAGTAATTTCTGTAATTGAAAGTTGGGAATTTGAGATCCTGTTTTATGAGTGAGTTTTGGTCATTATCTCCGAGTCACATGGAACTTGTTAGGGCATAACCACGAAATATCAGATGCTATGGGATTATTCTCATGATGCCTTGATTATCACGGTATACTGTTGCTTTAGTTTACCATGATTTGTTTCATGGCCGCCCTTTCATATCATCAGTGGTTTCTTATTGTCTCATTTGTTTTCTTGTGAAGAAAAATGGTGTATCACTGTCTCGTGTTCCGTCGTAGATGAATATTTCATCCTTTAATCATGTCATTTTTCTCAGAGCAATAGATCTTATGCAGGGTAATCTTTTCTTCATGTTGGTATAATTGTATCTGCGGCCTGCACCACAGGCTTCTCATTCTAATAAGTCCGATTCCATTGGCAGGGGAATGATGTCGGGACACAATACAGATCCGGTACATACTTTTACACTCCGGAGCAGGAGACTGCGGCACAGGAGCAGGGCCGGCCCTAAGCCCAGGCGAGGTGGGCGACCCCCTAGGGCCCTGGTTTGGAGGAGATCCATTCTTGAAAATAATAATAATTTTATAATTTTTACGTTTTAATAATTAAAAAAAATATTTTTACATAATTTAAGTATAAACACAACTTTTTTTTATTTCAAACCCCACCCCATGCTTCTTACACATCATTTTTTTATTTAAAACTCATAATTTACCCATGACTTTCCATACGTGAAGCACCATGATTGAGCAGATCAAGATCTCACCCATGCTCCACAATACAGTAGTGTTCATATTCCCACCTATTCACACATATCCGGGAGCAAGCCAAGCAAGGGAGATTAGTTTAGTTTTTCTCTACCAACACATCCCACTCACCTGCAAAAAAAAAAAACAAAACACAAGGGAGTGTAATAGTTTTTTATTTGATTGTAACTGGGTATTTAAGGGCCCAAGCAAACAGAATGTAAAGGGGATTCGAAAAAAATCCTTACAAAGACATTGTAACTCATCTTCAAGGAATAATAGATTTCAAAGGTTACATATTATTCACTGTTTTTTTTATTGTTCGAATGCATGCTTTTTTTATTGGTTCGTTTCTTATCTAGCAAACCATTATATTTACTTTTAGTTCGGATAGAGCATATTAGATACTATTTTTTTACTGTGATAATTCTTCTAAAAATCTAGATCTAGCATTTCGAATATATAATTTTTTTCCCATTTTGAGCATGGTAGCGCCTATATATATATTTCGAAATAACAAATAAAAAATAAACAAGTTTATTTCGGCTCTAATCAACCCAGCTAACCAGCAAAATAACAAAAAATAAACAAAGTGGATGGGTCTCACCAGAGTTAGGCTGCCGATGTAGGTCGATGGCAGGGAGGCCGAACAGATTAGAAGCTCGAGGTCCTTGCATGTTGTTTTTCCTGTCTAGATCTAGTTTTTAACGGGTTAGGTTAGGAGGTTTTGGGGTGAGTAGGGGTTGCTCTGCCGTCGTGGGTCGTTGGAGTGTTAGGCATTCAAAGGGTCGGACCATTTTCGAGTGGATTCGAGGTCTGTTTGGAGTGTTTCGGTGTTGGATCCGGTTTGAGAAGGGTAGATCGAAGAAAAAGGGTTACTTTCGGATAGTTTAGGGGTCCGACCACTTCGTCTGGTGGCCGGAGTAATGGCTGAGACAGCGACTCACGAGTAATTTAGTTATATTCTCTTGTTATATGTGCTTATGTGTAAATTTTCTTTTTTTTCATGTATGTTACGCATTTTTGGATAATTTGTTATTTAGTTATTAATATTTCTCGTGTGTTTTGTATTTAGTCATCATCTTATTTATTTCTATTTTATTTGTGTATGTTGTTTTGTAGGTGAGAGATGTTAATTTTCAATTGAGAGAAACGATTCTAAGAGATGATTGAAGACATAATAAGAGTAAATTGAGTGAAAAATTGTGATGTCTCTTTATATATTTAATAAAATAATATTGGTTAATGTAATATAATATACTCAAATAATTTTAATGAAAAAATTTATTTGACGTTTATAGAAATTTATTCTTAAATTTTAAATTATTTTTAATGATTCTTATTTTGCTTAAGACCCTTAAAATGTCAGGACCGACCTATACAGTAATCCATGGAAAAACACCAGAAACTCTTGAACCGAAAGATTGTTACGGATATTCTGCCAGCAAAGAAGTTCTACAGAGCAGAGAAATATCACCAACAGTACCTCGCGAAAGGAGGTCGTTTCGGTTTTAAACAATCTGCAGAGAAAGGTTGCAACGATCCGATCCGGTGCTACGGCTAAGTTGCCACTGTTATATATGAATTTCTGAGTTTATGATTGTTAATAGGCGTCTGGTTTTGCCTGTCATATAATGATACTTTTGGAAACTCGTGTGTTCGATGGAATGAATGCTTGCTTATTTGTGTAGTCAACTCAACATGTGGATTTGTAATTCCTTATGTGCCTTTTTTATCATGAAATATAAGATTACCGTCCGCATAAGATTACAGACATGTAATATTTTTTTTGAGAATATTGTATTATCAGTTTGATTTGTTTAGTAAAACGTAAGATTATAGTGTTTAGTTAGATAAATATAAGATTATTTTGATTCATATTTTATCAAATTATCTTTGTGATATTTTTTTAATAAGTAAAATTTTAATATAAATATTTGAATAAAAATTTATAAAAATATTTTAATTATTACACTAAGTTTAAATAAAAAAAATACATTTAACATATAATTAATATAATTAATATATCAAACTTATAATTTTAAATGATTTTTATAAGTATCGTATTTTTTATATAAAATATAATATAATATGAAAAATAATTTTATGATCTCGAGCGGATAAATATATTATTTTTAATGTATAAGACCTATTTTTTAATAACTCAAAATTAAATATTATTTTAAATAACTATATTTTTACAATAAATATTAAAAATATAAAATAATTTTAACTACTCAAATTTATCAATATTTTACTAAATTAAACTTTTTGTATATTATTATTATTATTATTAAATTTATAATTTTGAGTGAATCACAAATAATAAAAATTGAGAAAGATCTACATAAAAATTTTGTAATTTCAGGGGCATTTGTGTTCAAAATGGTGATAATTGTTCATTACCTAAGAATTTGGAAGTAATATATTCTCACCATTTTAACCCAAAAATATTACTATTGGTAATAAATTATTACTTGATAATGACCTTTTGCATGAACCCAACATGGGAATACAATTTCGAAAAAAATAATCCCTTTGATAATGACATTTTCCGCGAACCAAACACCCTCTTATAGTTTCCAGACCATTGTCTATGGTTTTTTTTGTATGTTTAAAGTGAGATGATATTAAGTTTAAACTGTGGAGAGGAAAACTATTAAATTCGAAAAAAAGAAGTTTATACATTTTACTTGATTTGAAAATTTTCAATTGAAATTTGAACGATAAAAAATGATTCATCAACTTGAATAACTTGAAATTTTTTTAACTCGAATCAACTTGAATACTCACCCGTAATTCTTGTCATTTTGAATCCATTTTTAACCAAATTTGAATCTCCTATAGCACTATAGAATATCTATATAAGTTCATTTTCTATTTTTAACAATTAATTTTCTTTCTTTTACAATTTAATCCTGTAACTTTATATTTTATTCAATTTAACTTTTTATTACAATATGAAAATATACAAAGAATTATATATATAATAAGAAAAAATAATTTAAATTACACTAATTTCGAAACGCAACTCAATCTAAATAAATTTCATAAACTCAGTTTATATTGGAAATTACATTTATATCCCTAAATTTTTCTTAGATTTGTTTTATGTACTTTTAAGTTTTAAAATTTTTAAAGAAGATTTTATTAATTTGTCAATATGAATTTTTTTAAAAAAAAAAGCACGATTGATATTAATATTTTTAATGTTTGTTTGAAATAAAATTATATATATAATTGCAGCAGTGCTGGCTGGACCACACTCCCTTCTACATCGACTTATTGCATCACAAAACTTTGCGTCCTTTTAATTGTTTAGTATAACAATCTTTTACTTGTGTTCTACTCTCTCTTAATTACGTATTTGATTTTATTAATTCTTGTTACAAGGAAATGGGAAACAGACAATATTGGTGGTTAACCAATATGATCCTAATAAATAACCCATCTCTTAAACAAACTTCACTAGTCCTAAGATGTCAAGTTTTTCTCACCATTAATGCCCTAAACGTTTAAATTTAATTATAACTTTTAATTACTAAGGAATTGTAGTTCGTCCAGCTTTCCTACTTTGATTTTGTTGATGGATTGTTTTATGGGTTAACTGCATGAATGGTAACTTATCTTTGCATTTTATTCACTTTTCAGATCGGGTACCCAACCGGGTTTATGGGTCGAGTCACAAAATGTTGGTTAACTGGGTACCCTCCGACCCGATATCCGATTTATTATATTTTTCATTTTTAATTTATATTAATTTTTTATTTATAATCATCAAATTATTTCACTCTAACATTCTAAAAGACATTCTTATTTTCATTAAATTTTGACACTATAACGTTCTAAATTCTTAATTTCTTAAATTATTTCACATTAACGTTCTAAATTATTTTTTAAAATATTTAT